ACGGACTTCAGGGGGCTTATCAAGAATTTGTCATCGAAGGAGTACTTATATAAAAAAATAAAACACCATGTTGTCACATAACATCAATTTCCACGTTTGAAATTCTTCTTAATCTATTTGGCTTTGAAAGAAAGGGTGATTACATACAGAAACCCTTGTTAGTGTGGCTCTGAAAACAAAATTACCTTGATGCCGGTCGCCTCTTTCATCAGATGAGAGGATGTTAGCAAGGAGACACTATGGTAGCACCCAGCGTTGTCATGACGATAATACGCCGTATCGATTTCTGGATTTCTGAAGCAAATATTGCTTCAATAGCTTGATTACATCTKAAAGTTAGGTCATCCCATTGATCTTCTGACGGAAGTGTTTTTACTATCAGCTAGAGTGTTCTTGATATTGGTGAGTACCGTCTTCAACTTTTCACAGGAGGAGCAGGAAAAATCATGCTGGTGGTTACATTCTTTTAAGAAAGGATCTGAACTCTGACTTAAAGCATATGCTAGACAGTGGTCAGGTACTTGGTTTGCTTCTGTAATATGAACCTAAATTAAACAGTAACAATACAGATAATAGTCAMCTAGTTTAACATTGGTCTTTTTTACATAAAGAGAATAATAGTCACTATCTAGCCTGAAGATAAACATTAGCGTAGTTATTCATTACCATACTAGTTAAACATTTCCATTAAAAGAAGGACGTACCTTGAAGTCTGATTTAATGTACTGTTTACTTTCACGCAGTGTTCTCTCGCAGTTTGCAGCCCATCCAGGTTCACGAACTGGTTCAATCTCCTTCACAATATTACTCAACTCATCAAACGCCTTTGCTCCCTCTGCATWATAGTAATCGAGACCCTGGAGAGACTTTCTCCCTGTGGCATTACACTCTGACAGGACACGCCTCATTGTTGCTTCGCTGAATGGTTTAAAGCCTGTCTCTTCGCATAACTGACTGTACTGTGCACATATCCTCGACGATATCACTGAACGAATTACATTTGGTGTCTCGACGACCGTGCCGTTTGATAACTTTAAACGCTTTTGGCCAAATGGCAGATCTTGTACAAYATGGGGGCTAGTGATAAAGGATAGAAAATGGTCTTGCTGACCTTCCTGGATGTACACGGCTAGTTGGCACGGGTACGCCTCTTCCGTACTGTAAACGGTGAACACGAGCAATCTTCCAGCGATATTCTGTTAATCTTGGTATATATTGTCGTATCTCATTAAGGGGCAATAAATCGGCCATGATTGACAGCACTTGACGTTTTGTATCCCAGCTCATTGCATGTTGGTATAAGAGCAGAAAGGTACTTTTCTTCTGCGTGGGGCTTGACGCCAAGTGCCTGTTCGACTTGTTTGGATTCTTGCACGGCTTTCCAAAGACTACCTGCATCTCCAGGATTAATTACCTCGAGAGCTGCTACTATAACTTTTGTAGCCTTTGACACGTGTCCCATTTGTGTCCTAGTACTCGTGTCTCCCCACGGCTTTTTGACAGGACCAATAAGAGAGCCTTCCATACCACTGGCGATTAAAAACCTGTTTAGTGCATCTCGTCGATGAACAGCTT